GGAACGAGGAGGCGTGAGAGCCTCAAACTATCCCATTGTGTGTGTGTGTGTGTGTGTGTGTGTGTGTGTGTGTGTGTGAAATCTATACATGTATAACGACCTCCCACCACAAACATAAACAAACCCATAGTCAAGTTACCTCTGGCTCATGGTGACCTGATATCAAACACACTCACTGCCATCAAGTCTGCTTTTGGGGGAGAGGGGCGGAGGGGGACCCTAAATGCAAACACAGCTGGAAAACAGCAGAGTCTGGATTCACACTCGAATCGTCTTAAAGCCTGTGAGTGAGATCCCCTGGGTACCGCTGGTAAACGCAGGGAGAAGGGACCTTCCAGGCAGGGGAACAGCATGGGCCGAGGGCTCAGAGGTAACAGAAATATGGGTCAGCCACCTATAGAGGCCAGGCATTGAGGGGGGCTAGGGGCTGAAAGGGTCCCTCCCCTCCTGGAGGCCACACCCATGGAGGCAACACCCAAGTAAATCAAAAGAATTCAGCAAGGAATGAGTTCATCACAAAAGTCCATTAGGACAAGTGACCAGGAGGGTGGGACAGGACCCAGGAAGGCTCGGGCTACAGAAAGGAGGGCCGGGTCATGCCCAGGATGGGGAGTAGGGTTCGGGAAGCACTCCAGGCCAAGGGAGCCTTGAGGTGTTGGATCCTAGTGCCTCTGCTCTGCGATGGGTCCCCTCCTTGACCTGCCCAAGACAGTTCAGCTCCCAGGAGGAAACCCGGCCCTTCCTGGCAGTAGTGGCCCAGGCCAAAGGGAGTATCTGCTTCCCATTTCCTCAAGGAAATGCCAACGGGGTATAAGACTGGGGGCATATGCTCCCCCGCCAGCAGGCCTCCTTGGGTGCCCTCAGTCCTCCCTGGAGCTCAGCCCCACCCCACTGTGCTTTGTCCCCAGACTGCTCCAGTGTCAGGCCCCTCCTGCACCCTCACTGCCCAGCAAAGCCCTCAGCACTGGCACCTCCTCCCCACCGGGCCTCTTTCCGCCACCCCACCCCCCAACCCCATTAAAACAACCATTTTATTGGGGGCTCATACAGCTCTTATCACACAATACATATATACATACATAAGTGTCAAGCACATTGGTACACCTGTTGCCACCATCATTTACAAAACATTTGCTTTCTACTTGTGCCCCTGGTATCAGCTCCTCATTTTCCCCCCTCCCTCCCCCA